CGACAATTCCCGAAGGTTCGAGAGAACGAGCCACGTGACCTCACTGACGCAACAATATGAATGAACTTTGCAACATAATCACTGTTTTTCTGCTTTCTTGCTACATTTGTGACAATGAGAATTAACAGTTCCAGTGTCTACTAATTGGCTGCTAATAAATTACAAAAAAATGAGAGAGTTACAACCAGTTACTTGTTCTTTAGTATTTTGCTATTTGGTTAAGTTGTGATTTCATAGCTTTCGCTTGTTCATTAGTAAGGAATCCATTTAGACCTGAAGAGCTTGAGGTTTTATACTAGTTTTATGGTATGGTTCTCTGCTATTATGTCAACCATTACTGTTTGGTTCTGAGAATCAATACCTTTACACATTCTCTGGCCATTTTACATGGGTCTCAGGTTGTTACCCTTTGTCTGTAACATGAAAATCTGCCCAGACTCATGGTAAATGGTCTGACATGGCCTGGTGGTTAAGGTGCCATCTCACAGATTGAGAACATGCTCACCCTTTCAGCCATAGGGCATTATAATATGAAGTCAATCCAATTATTCATTTGTAAAAGAGTAGTCCAAGATTTGGTGGTGGGTGGTGTTGATTAGCTGCCTTCTCTCTAGTCTATTACTGCTAAATTAGGGATGGCTAGTGCAGATAGCCATCATGTAGCTTTGTACAAAATTCAAAACAAACCAAACCAAACTCTTGGTAAGTCTCTTTTGTTCATTTGGCAAATCATACCTGTTAGGATATTTCATCTTCAGGGTTTCTGACAATCTTGGGGCAGAGAATTTGTTAGACGAATTCTTCACATCATATTAAAACATTTCAATGATTCCATCACTGTTGTTCTCAATATATTTCTTGCCATACATGGTTCTATGTTTTGGCTGTCCTGCTCATTCACATGGAAATGTCACCAGGAGAACATAGTTTTCGCACCAAACATAGAGCTCTAAGTTGTCTTCTTTTCCACCCTTGGCAGTAAGAAGACTGGAACTTTTCTTGTTCAAGGTGAAAAATTTGACCTGAAATATCAAATATCCCTTTTCAATTTCCCAGAACTGTCTTCTTCTTTGCTAGCTAGGGTTTTCTTTCATCACCTTAGTATTCAATGAAGTTCCAATGTGGAAATAATTCTTAATTTGGACAAGGATCTGTTTTGTGCATACTGACTGTATCACCATTGTCAAGATTAAGAGTGTCACATTCATTGGCATTTGTGATTTCTTAGTCATCAGCACTGACATTTTAATTATTACTGTAAATATCACTGTCACCAGCAGTACCAGTGTCACTGTCTGTGATGTTGCTGCTTTTGCTGTTGTCACCTACTTTTGTAGCAGAATTGCCTCCTGGTTAGCTCCATATCTTTTTTCCAATTGTCATTGCTGAAGTACCTGAAACCATCAGTTGTAAATGTTGACACTTTGAGAATGAATTGGTTGTTTTTTGTATTTTTGATAATTCCTTCATTATTTGGTGGATATTCAAACTTAGTAGCATTCATGTGATGCATTCATTGTTTGCATTTTTTGGACATTAATTCCAAAGAGTTTTACATGAGAGCTATCTTTTCTGAGAAACCTTCTTTCAGCCACAATGCTAAGACAATGTGAGATGCAGTCAGTGCAGGCAGAATGTCCATCCCATGGAGATTACACGAACTTACATTTCTGTGTGAACAAAATGAAAAAGTGTCACTCCATTAACAAAAAAAATAACAAAGCCATTGATATCAAGAGGCCATTATTCAAATATCTTGTCACATCATGGTTCTCAAAACACACTTTTTTTTATGTGAGGCATGTCACACTTGATATGCATCACAATTACATCCATAAGTGAAAGTACAGTTTCAACTCCTTGTTTGTTACTTCCACCAAGATGATCATCACAATTAATGTTGTTCTAAAGTACTTCCTCCATTTTCACATCCCTAGAATAGTATGTAATCTTTGCAACGTGCCAGCTTTTTTCGTCTCCTTCTGTAGTTTTCCATAGTTTTCTCACTGTAATAAGCAGCTTCAAGCTTTCTCTTGAAATATACAATGACTATTGCCCTGTCTGTACAACTGTCCACTTGTAGACAAGGTTCCATTAAATAAATCATCATATATTTTCTGAAACTTCTGATTTTTGGCTTGCTCATGATGATCCATGAAAAGGTGGAACTTGTTATGCCACTGAACATGAAAATTTTTGTTGTTGATTCATCATCTTCATTACTTGGCATGATGTCAAGGATGTCATTGATAAGAAAAAAGGGAGATTTGCAATTCTGACATTGGCATGCATCAGTCTGCCTGCAAGTTGCCTGCTGTTAATTTATGTTTGATGGAATGCACAGCACAATTATCCTCAGGTTCCAAGTAGACACTGCATATATATATATATATACCGTATTTTTCATTTTATAAGATGCACTTTTTTACCCCAAAATTTGATGTCAAAATCTGCATGCGTCCTATACACCGAAGGTATGAATAATATATATGTATATATATGATATCCACAAGCCATGTGTAAATATATTTAAATATGCATGCATAGTTCACTTCAATTGAATGTGTTATTTATAACAATAGTAGTTTTTTTCTTTTAAAAACATAACTATTTATAATGCTCCCTAAATAATAAAAAACTTATACTAGTT